ATCCTTTATCCTTTGATCATGGTCTAGTCCTCAGACTACTCCCTATATCATGGTCTAGTCCTCAGACTACTCCCTATATCATGGTCTAGTCCTCAGACTACTCTCTATATCATGGTCTAGTCCTTGGACCACTCCCTACATCGTGGCTCTTTCAGGCCTACTAGAACTACCTCACAACATCGCGTCTTCAAAAGAAACCTGAACAACACTGGGAACTCCCAAAGCCTCAATGGGAGCTTACTCCCATCCCCATAACGTCGGAATTTGGACAGCAGTTCGCCGCCCTCTGTAAACGCCTGAGACGTTTCATGGGTTCACATCAAGAAGATCTAGCGGCTGACAAACAAGCTGACTGTGCTGACGTACCTGTGCCGGCAATGTCGGCTGGCGGATATGAGACAGATCCATGATTCAGTAGCCGACACCCAGCAGAGTCACTGCGAAGGCCGGATCTGTGAACGCCTGCTATGGCGTTCCTCGACCCGTTCAACATGATTCAGTAGCCGACACCAGCAGACGTCACTGCGAAGGCCGGATCCTGTGAACGCATGCTATGGCGTTCTCGACCCGTTCAACATGGATTCAGTAGCCGCACCCAGCAGAGTCACTGCGAAGGCCGGATCCTGTGAACGCATGCTATGGCGTTCTCGACCCAGTTCAAACATGGTTCAGCTAGGCCCGCACCCAGCAGAGTCACGCGAAGGGCCGGATCTGTGAACGCATGCTATGCGTTCCTCGACCACGTTCAACATGATTCAGTAGCCGACCCCCAGCAGAGTCACTGCGAAGGCCGGATCCTGTGAACGCATGCTATGGCCGTTATCGACCCGTTCAACATGGATTCAGTAGCCGACACCAGCAGAGTCACTGCGAAGGCCGGATCCTGTGAACGCATGCTATGGCGTTCTCGACCCGTTCAACATGGATTCAGTAGCCGACACCCAGGAGAGTCACTGCGAAGGCCGGATCCTGTGAACGCATGCTATGTCGTTCTCGACCCGTTCAACATGGATTCAGTAGCCGACACCCAGCAGAGTCACTGCGAAGGCCGGATCCTGTGAACGCATGCTATGACGTTCTCGACCCGTTCAACATGGATTCAGTAGCCGACACCCAGCAGAGTCACTGCGAAGGCCGGATCCTGTGAACGCATGCTATGTTCTCGACCCGTTCAACATGGATTCAGTAGCCGACACCCAGCAGAGTCACTGCGAAGGCCGGATCCTGTGAACGCATGCTATGGCGTTCTCGACCCGTTCAACATGGATTCAGTAGCCGACACCCAGCAGAGTCACTGCGAAGGCCGGATCCTGTGAACGCATGCTATGACGTTCTCGACCCGTTCAACATGGATTCAGTAGCCGACACCCAGCAGAGTCACTGCGAAGGCCGGATCCTGTGAACGCATTGGCTATGGCGTTTCTCGACCCGTTCAAGCCCAATGTTGTCACCTGGGACTGTATGTCCAATGTTGTCACCTGACTGCACTGTCACCTGTCACCTGTATGTCACTTTCCCCATCGCCCCTGGCCGGTGTCCAGGAAGTGCGAGGACTCTCCGATCGCTTCCACTGGCTTCGCGCGGTTCAAACGAGTTTAAAGAAACGCTGAATGTTTCAGGGGTTTGGAGTGTTGGTATGCGCTTTGTACATTCTGCTCTTGTGACGTACAGTTGAGAGATATTATATATTACTAGCCATTATTATGGTTTTTATAATCTGCCGAGACGTCTTGCAGAGTGTCCTGAAATCCCAAAACGTGGGTGCAAATCCACACCCAACCACGTTGCATTTTTTAGCCTTTCTTCGCCCTAAATGCTTTCGTTCAGGGCTTGCGCGTGGACTTCTAGGCTGCATGGCAATTAGCCATATGCTTGCATGGGCAGGCATCAAAGCATAACAACAATGTGGCAACGATGAAAACCCCAACATTCCTCACGGCCGCCCTCCCGACCTGTGCAAGACACAGAGACCTGGAGATAAGCCTGCATTTGACGACATATGAGCAGTCTGTATTTTTCCTCAGTGCTCAGCAGCTGTACCGCTAATAAAATGATACTTCCACATTGCTGCCAGATTAACGGAGATACTAGGGTCTCCAAAAGTGGGAAGCAAAATTACGTCGAAAAAGCCCACTCAAACGCACCTGAGGTTTTCCCGTATTCAAACCAAGGCTTGTACTTGGGATCAATGTTTTAGGAAAGTCGATGTCTTGTCCCCACATTCCAGGCAATTTTCCCTTTCACCGTCGTGAGATAGTTCAAAAGTATAATATTTTCTATGATGTCAAAATATGTGTCATCGTTGCAGCCAGGGCTGTTTCAGGGTAAACAGTCAATCTCGTTACTTCTGTTGCGAATTTTCGCCCTTGGTAAGAAATCCCTTATAAGAACGAAAAGAACTACTTCCTGATTTCAACACTGACTACGTATGCAAATTATGGTCATGTTTTCTTTTTCAGACATATCTTGCAGGAGCACCCGGAAATAAATTTAGAATGTCTTCCCCATAAGCTATCGCCTAAAAACTAACTTGAGAATTGCGGTATGCATGCACAACATTTTTAATCCCAAATGTGTGGTTTCCATTAAGGAATAATTATGTTTTGGCCCTTATGTTGAGCACTGTTCGATTTCGGCACCTTCATCTTGGCATCCGAATCTGCCGATGCCGAAAAAACTTCTGCGTCGCATACGTCATCAGCGTTCATACTATGTTGTGATTGTTCATGAGTGTGGCTGTGGGTGATATGCAAGTTGTGGTTATGCTTATGTCTCACACTTGCCCATCTTGACCCGTGGTCTGACATGTCAATAGCAGCACGTGGAGGTGACAACCAGACAGGTGCCCAATGGGCGGTTGCGTTGCGGTGTTTCTCGTCGCAACCGACATCTTTGTGCCAAAGAAGATTTTATGTGCCAAAGTTCCACGGACTTGCGTGACGGGTCAACGTTGTTTCATCAACGATATCATGAACATGACACACTCAAAACACATATATTATTGTGCTCAGAATTTGACAACAAATACGCCTATGATGGAGTTATGATGGAGCTATACGAGTTTGGTGTCGTCACAATGCGTGTTTCTGCACATATGAGCATGCGAAGCCGAAAAAGTTCTAGGTGCGCGACAAATTTAACTTCGACTTGACCTGACTGGACCAATGTACAACCTGGCGACCTAAAACTTTTTACCAATCGCGGGATTTCGTATAGAACAAGTTACATTTAATTTTTCCGCGAGGTTGCACGTTTTCTTTAGTCTGACAACGGAAAGGGTTCGCAACCCCCCTCCCCCCCCCCTTCCCCTCCAGTGGTATGTGCTATTGACAATGGCGAACCTGAGCGAATGTTATCTGGTTTTCAGTTCTGCCCAAAGTGTATCGCCCAATTGCTGAGTAACGACGGAGATACCCGGAAGACGGTTATCCGCAGTCCCACCAACGCGCCGAACCGGACCTCATATTGAAGTAGACCTCTGACCTCCGACTGTGACCTTTGACACTGATGGCTCGCGCAGTGCTTCGACGTCACTGCTTAATCGTTGGTGGGGATGGGTTTTCCAAATATCATGAGCAGCATGGTTGCACGGGAGGTTGTGGCACGTTTCTGGTTCGTTCGGTAATCCCTTTTTTGCTGAGTTGGCTGAGAAGCAGTAATCCGGCAGCTTTGGTCCCAACGCGCGCCCAACGAGGGATGAGTGCCGCATTGCTGTACATCCGCTGTGGAAGTGGTTTTCGCGAGGGTGCTGCGCAAAAGTCGGCATCTGTTTGGAGCTCAGGATTTATTGAGTTGGGAAACCCGTTTTGGACGAATCCTGCTCTTTCTACGTAGCTCGAACAATCAAAGTTGTTGACAGGCTCAGTTCTCTTGAATTCCATACCACGTCGTGAAAAACTGTTGTCTTGATTCAACGTCTGCTGAGTAGAGATCGCGACAGCATGGTTTCGTCGGTGTGTGCCGATTTCTTTACAGATAGGCTGAGAGAAACTCATAAAGGTCACTTGGTACCTGAAATGTGTTTTCTATCAACTCAAATAAAGGAAACATGCTAACGATCGCGAGTAACTATCACACGATAAACATATCATCTTCAGTAGATACTGGATGGTGAGGATGTTTGGAACGAGGAAATACTTGTGCTTGGGCAGGATACAGGACAGTGATTGAGTGCTGGAAATAGGAAGGAATAGAGCACAATTAATAAACAGTTAACTATTGCATGCTCCGACCCTTTTTGCGGCGGTAAATGTGTCGGAAATTACATAACTTTTCCACCTCTTTGTAAATAATGAGATCATCTCCACCAAAGTGAAAAGCAATTTCAGGACTCTGGTCTTGCAGGCGTCGCTTGGACGGGCTCATTTCCATTTACGACGTTGGCATTACGAGCTTGCCAAGTTCCCAATGGGCTAAATGAGTCCAAATGCGAGCATTGGACCGCTTTCTGCTACACATTCTGGGAATAGTCTTCATTGCAATGGGTTTAGTCACGCGAAGCTAACGCAGCACGTTAAATCAAACAATACACGGTCATGGCAGCCTGCCGTCCTCCACTCTCACTCCACTCCACCGCACCTCACTCCGCTGCCTTCCGCTACTCCCCTCGGCACCGCTCCTCCCCGCCCTCTATCCGAAGGACGCTTGTAAGTACGAGATTAAGGCTCGGCTGTCTTCCAGGGACATGCAATGTTCAGATGCTTCCGATGCTGTTCGCTCATGGTGACGAAACTTTTGACTGCAGTTGTTCGGAAGTTTCGGCGTCGCCCAGCTGAGTGCCAGAAGCTTCCCATTCAGGGATCCCTGCCACGGGCACCTTCGCGTCTCGTGGAGGTGGCTACTCCAGGTTGACTGGAAAAGAGCGGTGAAGAAGTTGCGGACGTGGTCGTTCTACCACTGATCGTGGTGTTGTACAGGCAGGTGTCTGATCTCAAGTGTGGAGACGACGACGCTTTGGAACCAGACCCTTTGTAGAGGAACAGCTGACACCTTGGAAATTCATGGCGACGACGCTGCCGGTGAAGAAGGGCTTCATGGCGACGACGCTGCGAGCGAAGAAGAGCTTCATGGTGACGACGCTGCTGATGAAAAAGCGCTTCATGGTGACGACTCTGCCGGTGAAGAAGAGCTGAACGTTACCGTCGCTGATCCATCAGAGGCTGAACGTTACCGTCGCTGATCCATCAGAGGCTGAACGTTACCGTCGCTGATCCATCAGAGGCTGAACGTTACCGTCGCTGATCCATCAGAGGCTGAACGTTACTGTCGCTGATCCGTCGAGAGGAGGGAAAGGCCGACAATCGGTCGGTAAAGCATTCAAAGAGCCGTTATAGAATATAAAATATGATACGGAAAAATGCAGTAAATGTGGATTATAAAACATAACAATTAAAATGCGAAACTATAAAACATTAGAACATAAAAAGATGAAAGCAATATAAAATGAATATCTAAAAATATGAAAATATAAACGATGAAAATATTAAATAGAGCAGAAGGCCACACAGCGAACCGATGGACTCAGGTAATGGTGTCAACCTATGCTCGAAGGTACCAACCCTTGCTGCCCACTCATCCAGGTTATGCGCCGAAAACAACGTCTTGAATGTTTCGCAAGTACTTTGATGAACAGTGCTCAGTGGATAATAAAGAGGAGCAAACAACTTCGTCTCACCGGAATAAAGCTGAATCAGTTTTTTAGATCCTGCTTTTCATTTTCTTTGTTGTAAAAGAACGCGGCGCACGTCGTCGCGCGCTCTTTCCGGGAACACCAGCGACTGCGGAGATCTAATAAGCTTTCTGGGACCAAGGCACAACCAGGATCCGAACACGTGGAGCCGAACGTCTAACTACTCGGCAATTACGCCGCCTACAGATCCTACTATTCACAGGCTGCTACCCTCCTTCCCTGGCCAGAGCAACAAGCGCTGTGAGAAGTCAGACACTGCGGAAATATCTCTCGTGTCAAAAGCGATGTAACGGAGCAGCTTACCTACACTGACTGACAATGAGCACCTACCACTCAGCGCCATATCGCCAAAGTGCCGCCGTTGTGTGACAGAGAGAACAGATTTCTCCTGCAACTGGGTGTCTTCGACTCAAACCCAAGCATGGATGGCCGGGAGGTGCCTTGCTTCAGCTACCATTGCCACAAGCGGTGCGGAACGGAAAGCTGAGATGATTCGGCTATAAACCGATCCAGGGCTTACCCGTTCATAAGCCAAACCGCCGAGGAGGGCGGCAGCCGAAGCCAGTCGCTGGGACCTGACGGTGCTGTCTTCCTACACCTGGTGGAGTGCACCGAGAGGCCCATGAATTACCAACTCTTTTTTCGACGACGTCTTCGCCTCAAATGCCCCTCTGCTGTGGCAGAAGGAGATGCTGCCATAGAAACCGCTACTGCGTGCTCCGACAAGAAGATGAATCAGCTGGCTTTCACGTGGGAGGTCGTGAAGAGCTCCTCCAGTGAAGTCTAGTATAATGTGTGGCAGCCGATGTTTCCCGTGCCGGTTGCACTTGGCTTAAAGCAAACTGTTTTCCCTCACGTTCATTTTCTTGTCATGTTATAAGTTTTTTTGTACATTTATTCCGAATGGTTTGCATGGGTGACTTCGAATTCAGAGTACCTGCTAAGCATAGCTTGTTGCGTGTGCCCCCGAACCCACCACCCAAGCGTGCTGTCTAGTTCAACAGCTAATTTTTGCCTCCGCACTTTTGCCAGACAGGAACGCGGAGGGTTTTACGTGCCGCACAATGCTGCGACACGGCTGCCTCGGACCCTGAGTTGACCCTTGTTGGCAGTTGCCAGCTTGGCCTTTCCATTCAGTCGGGTCACATAATGCGCCCACTCTGGGACTCGTACCCCAGTGCCGCTCGATACGAGTCCAGCATCTTTCCCTAGACCACGGAGGCGGCAGTGTTAGTTGGTTAAGTTGGTTTGGTTTAAGTTGGGTTTCTTTGACTAATATATGATGCAACATGCGTCCTGGCTTCGCCCTAACTGTTTGTAGTTGAATTCTAACCCAGTATCGTTCTTTGAGTTTGCGTCTCGCCCTGCCTTGCGTGGCAAAGCGAGTCAGCTCGCAGCAACTCCATTCGTCAAGGGCGGCACCACGGATTTTGGGTTGGGGCAGGATTTCCCACGGGCCTCCTGGACAAATCGGGGCTCCTCACGAGGGGGGGGGAGGGGGGGGGGAGAGGAGGTCTCCTGGGCAGCAGCTGAAGGTCACCGAGGGCATGCGCCTGCTTATTAAATCGTTACATTTATCATAGCTAAATGAATACATGCCGGCAATTACAAAAATCGAGAATTGGGGCCTCCTGTTTTAGAAAAGGGCCTCCTTATGCATAATGGGCCTTCTAATCCGCAACAGGATGCTTTCGATTTACGAAAGGGGCCTCCAAATCTAGCCAAGAACCCTCGTTATCCCTAAATAGGATGTCCCGATCCGAAACCGCGACCATCTGATGCATGAAAAAGGCCTCCTGAATATAGAGGGTGCCTTCTAACCCATAACAGGAGCCTTCTGAGCTCTCGAAGAGGCTTCCTTAACATACCATAGAGCCTGGTTATCTAGGACATGGCTGTCTTGTACATAAAGGTGACCTTATGTTCCAGAAAACGGACCTATTGATGTAGAATAGGGTCTTTTGAGCCCAATTTATTATCCTTTAGATTAGTTATGGGGGGCCTCATTGACCTGAACTTTGGCAATCTACGGGTAGCTGTATTGCCTTTAGTTTCGAAAAAGAAGATCTCCCAAAAATTTTGGAGGAGGAAAAATACAGTTGCCTTCTTACCCTCCGGCAGGCGAGGAGTGCAACTGACCCCTCTGAACCCTCGCTGCGCCGCGCCCGTCACCCGTAAGGAACGGGTGTAAACGATCATGATGGACGAACGGATTCGGGCTGAAATGCGGGCGAAAGGGAGGTGGGGAGTGGATGTGATATTGAGCAGCTGAACACTAAAAATGGGTAAGTAAACGTGCCGAAGAGCGATCCGGTGAGTGTCGGCCGTTTTGACAACGTCGATGCCAGCACCCTTGTGTTATCATTCTGAATGAACGTTGTCAATACGTTCCGCGTTGTTTTCAGCGCACTGTGGAAAATAGGGACCAAGGAATCCTATGTTGCGGGCTGAAAATATCGCATTGCGCCCAGTTTGTTTCTCAGCCGAACGAACTTTGGTTCTGTCATCAGTTTGGCTCAAATGCCACAGAAAACATGCAAAAGTAATATCACGCCCATTACGTCCACGTGCCAGAATAGGGTTATCAGATATAGGATAAACATGACCTTGATGAATCTCTGCTTTGCAGCAATGATGAGAAAACACAGCGGTATCAAACAGTCAAAATGCCGCGTTAAGCCAAGGTGAAGCATGCTGGGACGATCTTGTCAGCCGTGATGGGTGTAAATGTCGCGATCTCACGTTGTACATCGGCTTCAGGGGGCCCATCTGCCACCACAGTTAACATCTTGCGACAAGAGAGATACAACCAGGTTAAGTCCTGAAACAGGCACTATTTTTGACTGCAGTATACACACACCCAACACACACACACACACACACACACACACACACACACCACACACACAAACACACACAACACACACACACACACACACACACACACACACATCCACACCCACACACACACACCACACATGTATATATATATATATATATATATATATATAGATATATATATATATATATATATATATGTATATATATATGTGTGAGTGTGTGTGTGTGTGTGGTGTGTGTGTGTGTGTGTGTGTGTGTGTGTGTGTGTGTGTGTTGTGTGTTGTGTGTGTGTGCGCGCGCGCGCGCGCGCGCGTGCTTTCCATCCCTGACAGTTGCCCGTCACAGATGGCGCTGCCGGCGTGAAACTTAGCGCGTGAGCAATCCTATTCACGCGGTGTTCGCTCCAACACAGCGCGCCGCGTGGAACAGCCGGAACAGCCGGACACAACAGCCGGTAGACGCCGGCAGGACCATTAGGACAGCCGGTAGATATGGGATGTTCGGCGTGTATCGGGCAGAGCTCATTATCATCAGGCATGTCATCAGCGGCGGCGCAAGCCACCCAGATCAAAGGATCACGCTGCACGGAATGACTAAGCTCGCTGCAATGGTGTTCTTGAAGGTCGCGAGAGCGGAGAAGGCTGTTAACCTCCTCAGAGCTGCACACCCGATTTTGGCCCCGTTCCATTCCTGAAGCTCCATTACTACTGAAAATGGTTCCCAGCACGTGCAGAACATTTGGGTTTCTCGTGATAATGCGCGCATCAATGCTGACAGCACAAGGCTTACGGCAGATGATGATGGTGAAGAGGGAGGGGGGGGGTGGGGGGATGATGATGGTGAAGAAGCAGGGAGGGGCGGGGGGGGGGGGGGTTGCTGATAGCGAGGAGGCGGTTGGTGATTGCGGAAGAGGGGGTGATGCGAATGGTCCGCCTTCCGATGGGGTTGGGGGACGAACGGGGGCTGCTGTGTCGGCACGCAACCAAGCAGAAGTGATTGTTGATACTGAGCATACCATACAGACCGAAGTCGAAGGACTAGTACGATACACCACAGATGGAGATCCTGTGTTCAGTGAATTTTCAATCAAGGATATTATTGAGCAATCACAAGGACACCAGGAGACCGTGCGCTATGCGTACAAGGAGGCCCAGAAATTTCAACCTTGAAAAAACTCCTCATGATAGCAAATCAAAATCTCATAGAAAAATTTCCAAAACCGGTGTCAAAAAGGACAGCTACTGCAAGTGCCTTCAGTTGGAGAGAAACTGACACCAACATGCACATAATGTGAAGCCCAAAGCCATGCCAGGCACAAAGAATAGCGAAGGAAAACGGATGAGTACTAACGTGCCGGCAGGAAGCCGCAGCTCGGGCTGTCATATCAGTCCCATGCGCGGTGCTGCCACATCCCACATCTGCCGGCTGCTGTCCTATGCGGGGCGTAGTGAGGAGTAAACACCACGCGCATGGGGCTGCTCATGGGACCGATATGACAGCTCACCGCATCATCACCGCATCACCATCACCAACACCACCATCACCGCGTGTGGGATGTAATAAATGAAATGG